CCACCTACTGGCACCCCACCCAGGGGTGTCCTAGGGGGTGCCACCACTGTGAAGGCAAGCACTGGGACCCTGCAGAGCTCTAGGCCTGCTGGCAGCTGCCCCCCAAGCTGTGGGATAGGTGGGCAGGCTTGGGCATGGAGGTAGGGAAAGATTGGGCCTTGCTACTTTTTTTTTCCTTCAGTGAGGCCCTGGTGCTTCGTTCTAGCTCTGACTTGCCTCCATGTTTGCTTGAATTGCCTCTGGATCTATAATAATAACACGCTTATTCTCTCTATGAGGAGCACTCTGGTTATTTCGGTAAACATTGTGATTGGCTACCGAGCCAGCCAATCAAATTGCTCTGGACAGGAAGAATGAGCCTATTATCATTATAGATTTCTACACAGGACACTTCCTGAAATATTTAACGTTCTTGTTTGTGTGAACTGTTTTGTCTAGTTGGGGCGGCAGTAGGGAAGGTATTTATGCAACATCCGATATTCTAATGTAGCTAGTTATGAATAGCTTATTTTATGACCTGTGACATGTAATGATACAGCAACAATTGATAGGCAGGGAGTAACTTTTAAATCACCAGCTTTGTCTTTGCACATTTGAATTCAGGTTTCTTTATTTAGTAAGCAGTCAAGGAAAAATTTGAATGTTTTGGCAAAGAAGGCTATGAATAATACAATATAAGTTCACAAGTGATAATGACCATATCTGTCAGTATTTTCTGATTATGTAACTACAGTATAGAAAAATAGCATTTTTAATAGAAAAATAGGACTGGAAGAGGACTTGAAAAGTATACAGTCAATTGTACTTGGGTCTTTCCTGACAGAAGTTTATTTAACCTGATCTGTGAAACCTCCACTGATGAAGACTCCAAAATCTTTCTAGATCATCTTCTAGGTAAACACTGTGGGGTGTATCAACAGTCCCTAACTTTTTTACAATGTGATTTTCTTAATGTCTAAACCAGTGATTCTCAACCACAGTGCCATGGTTGTGTTGCCTTGATCTTTTCAAGGGTGCCCTGGGATGCTATGCAGCATTAGCACTGTGAGATGTACAAACATGATTCTCAAGATAAACCCAGAGATTTCAAATTTCATTCAGACCTGTAGTGATCTTTTTTAAAGTTCTTTGCAACAGAGAAACTGCTCTGTTATTTTTCCATAGTCAAAAACCATGTAAAAACTTAAAAGCTAGTGTTTTCTGTGAGATGCATTAAGTCTTAGAACCAGTGGTTTAAACAAATCTTTTTGCTTTCATTAGAAGCCCATTGCTGCTTATCTTAATATCATGGAGAACCTTTGGGCACCTATACACGTACATTGAGGCTGCTCTGATGCACTGTAACTACAGTGCATCAGAGCAGACTTGATTAATTGAGTCTGCTGGAGCATGGTTATTACCATGGTCTATCACAGTGTTTCCCAACCAGCGTGCTGTGGCACGAAAGTGTGCGGTCAGAAATGAACAGGTATGCCACAGAATTTTGCCATGGCGATGAGCTACAATAGGTATGAGGATGGGGAATGCCTTGACAGGTGTGCCACAGAAAATTTTTATTAACATAAGTTGGAAAAGGCTGGGAAACACTGATCTAGCAGACTCCGGCATCATGTGCATTAGTGTCCCCACGCTGAAAAATGGTGGAAGGAGCACTTTAACTAAAGCTTGTTCAATTAGATTTGTTAAAGAGCCCCCACCACTGTTTTTCAGTGTGGGGAGACACTGATACATGTGATACTCTGGGCACTTTAATTAGAGCAACTCTCGGAACCACTCTAATTAAAGATCCCTCTTCCCTTCTCCCCACCTCCCGGAGCATGTCTATGAACACCCTTTGTCTTTGAAGTAACCTTTACATATTTGAATGCTGTTATCACACCTAACCTTGTGTCCTTCTCTTGACTATATTAAACCCAGGATTGTTTTTGTTGCTTTCCTCCAGACTCTGTTCACATGTTTCTAAACTGTACCCAAACTGGATACAATACACCACCTGAGACTTTCCCAGCCTAATAATAGTGCAAGACACACGAAGTAATCTGATTTTAACATCCTGATGTCATTTTTTCCTCTGACTGCCCTTCAGTTTGGGATCCATTTTAAACTCCAGATACTTTTTGGTAGAACTATCCATTTTGAATTTGTGCAACTGATTGTTCCTACCTTGTCTAGTATTTTGAGCTTGGCTTTAGTGAGCTGTTGTTGTATGTATAGCTGTAAAGAAGATGCTAAATTCCATTTCTTGAATAATTTTTTAAATTCTACAATTTTATATTCTGATTTCAAAATTCTGTGAAAGAGCATTTTAAAAACATGCAAATTTTCAAGATGTCATTTTGATCATCAAAATGTTTAATTTCTATTTGGACTTTTTAAATGTAATTTTATTTAAAATATAATGTTTATAAAACAAAATCATTAAAAAAAAATCAAACATTTAATTCTTTTATGTAGAAATGGGTGAACTTGGTTGAGGTAATTTCAGAGCCATTTGAGTAAAGAGGTCAGTTGAGGCCCCAGATGACTGAAAAAGGGCAAAGAAAGGCTGCTTACGGGCATTTAAAAAAAAGCAAACAAAAAATGCATTTTCCTAGGAGAAGCAGTGCTTTAGTTCAACTTGGCACCGCAGCGTCTGTATAGATTGGGCACTTCAGCAGGGCTTTTTGGTGCCTTTTTCTAAAGCTGATTGAATCAGCTATTAGATAAAGGCACCAAAAAAGCCCCATTAAAGTGTTCAATCTATACAGATGCTGGGTGAGCTGGATCCAAGTAATGTGATGCCTCTTGTGGGCATGTACTTGCTGGGCTTGGTGCAGGAGTGTGCCAAGTTTAAAGTACCCTTTTTTAAACATCTGTAAGCAGCCATAGAGACCATCTTAAAAAAAAAAAGAAAGAAGGTGGATCTAAGGAATTACAGTCCAGTCACTCTGACCTCAGGACCTGGAAAGATCATGGAGAAGATCCTTAAGGAATCTATTCCAAAGCACCTGGAAGAGAAAAAGGGGAGTAGGCAGCATGGCTTCACTAAGAGCAAGTTATGCTTAACCAACTTGATTTTCTTCTGTGATAAGGTGACAAGCTCTGTTGATAGGGGTCGACCAATAGCTGTGATCATAACTTGATTTAAGCAAGGCTTGTGATATCGTTTCCCATGACATTCTTATTAATAAGCTAAGGAAATACAGACTGTAGATGAAAAAATGAATGAAAACCAATCTGACATCAAGTCCAGAAATGCATGGAAGTCTGTAGTAGAGCACTTTTAGCCTCCCTGAATATTCTGTCATTGACTCTCACCTTACCTTCACCTCTCTCAGCAGTGTCTTTACCCCCTTTCTCTATCCTTTTTATTTAAATTACTTCGTTCTGTTCTGTTTAGTATACGTACTCTCTGCATGTCCGTCATAGTATCTGGTTAAATAGGTTGGTGCCTACAAAAGCTTATGCATTTTTAATGAATTAGGTGATAAAGTACTCTCTTGTCATGCCTTCTCCCTGACTTAAGACTGATGTCCATCCACCTCTCTCTAGAGATTTGTATAGTCCATAAGAATGATCAAACTTTTCCTGTAGATTCATCAGTTTTAGTAAAGGTGGTGTTGAATAGGAAGATGTATTTCACAGAATGCATTAATATATCTTTAATTTAGACTTTCTTTAGTGAAATGCTCACTTCAGTCTTCATAGTAGTTGGAAAAATACTCGGCTAGATGGTTAAACAAATCAATTGAAGAACAAAGAGCTTTGATATCTTGGCCTCAGTATGCTGAAGTCTTTATTCACCCTCTAGCTATTTAAGTAGAGACAAACATGCAATGAACTAGGACTTGGGATCCATACCTCAAGAAGAACTTTCCAGAAAAAAATCTTTGTTGTTGAAAAACACTGTCTAAATATATGAACAATCATAATAGTTAACTAAAACTTTTTGCAAAAGAACCTTGATATTAATATAGCAATTTTCCTGAAGAATATCAGATTTTCAAATTACTTTACAGTTGCTAGAAAAACAACAAACATAATTGAGTTTTGCAACTGTGGTCTCTGAGAAGGCCTTGACATTTCTAGAAAAGAAAGCTCCTGGTTCGTGGCAGGGAGAAGTGATGGTGGTAAGGGCTTCCCTTGTGTGGGGAGAAGCAGCAGCAACTGGGGGCTTCCCCATACTGTGATGATGGCCTGGTCCTAGCATCCACTGCTGACCAAGCAAGGTCATTTTGGCATATATCCTGAAAAGATTGCCACCTGCTCCTATAAAATTAACAACCCGTTGCGATGTAATGGAAGAAGAAGTCTATTAGTTTGGTCACATAGACAGTATTTTATAGCTTTACAGTCTGTAATTAGAATTTATGGGAAGGAGCTTCATTTGAACCCTAATACTAAAACTTGAAAATGAATAACATGTTTTAATTTTAATTGCATAAAATTCTGTTTAGTAACTAAGTCAGATAAGTAACCAAGTCAGATGTGCAAAATTCATTGCTTATAGTGACCAAGTAGTGAGTCTGATTCATCACTGTATTATCCCAATTTTAGGTTTGGGATAGCCTCATCAATTTTAGTAAAGTTTCAGTGATGTAAAACTGTTGCTTAAAGTCAACCCCAGTAATGTCAATAGTGAGCAAAGAACTATTCTGAGATTATACTGCTTTCTGTACAACAGAAACTAGCTAAATCTGAATGAAATCTAAATGATCACCTCATCCAGCTCCTTTTTCTTTTTGAAACATACCAATTTTTGTAACACAATAATCTTTCTTCATTGTTCATAAGATTAGAGGTGTTTCCTTTTAAATGTGACTTTTTTTTATTCTGATGTTCAAAGAAGGTAGACAGTGGTTTTTTTTGGAATGTAATAAACTCTGCACCAAATAAAAGACGGCATGTGGAACAAAGACTGCAAACTGTGACTAATTGATATACATTGGTGTAATGAGAGTACAGAATGTATCTAATCAGCAGCAATACAAAATCTCACAAAGGATTTCCATTCCTCCTAGGACTTCTTTTGCTGGGCATCTGGCAGGTATTCTAGTTGGATTGATGTACACCATGGGGCCTCTGAAGATGATCATGAAAACATGTGCAGGTACTTAGCTATTTCTCTTTGGCATGATGACAAGTTATTGGTTCAGCTTAATTTGAAAGTTTGCAGAAACTGTACATTTTGTCTTTACAACTCTGTAGAACTTGACATTTATGATTCAGCATATTAGATAAAAAATCTGCTGGGTATTAAAGCAAAAGTAAAACTGCTTTTGTGTTTTTATTGTATTTAAAATGGATCTGAGAACAATCAAGTATTGTTTTCAATTTTTTATAATTTAAGACAACTAATTATAGTTATTTAGGGATAAAATGACAAACAAAAATACAAGCCATTACTTGAAGTATATGTAATCCACAGAAATACTATATTGTGCTAGCTATAATACCTTTCTGGCTTTTTATTTTTATTGTTTTGAAAACATTGATATTTGTAAAGTTGTTTAAAAAATGCCCCAAATTTCTGTGTTTTGGCATTGTATTAGAATGGGTAGATTTATTCTACTTGCAGCTAGTGCTTGAACTACATGCAGGGTTTGGTGATAGTTTCATAGTTTCATAGATTAAGGGTCGGAAGGGACC